CCCCAAAAAAAAAAAAAAAAACCCTTTGAAATTCTACTTATTACAGTGTCAAAGATTTTTAGCATGTACTTAATATTTCAACATTTTTAAATGGATAGCATTCTAAGTCCTTTTTTCATAGATTACAAGTAGTTTATATAAAAGACAGCTCTTGTGGACAAATAACCTGAACTAATAACTTCCTGTTTAATCCAAAGTATAAAATAAGATGCATTAAAAACTTCTCACCAATTTTTTCTCAAACCCTTGGGAATTTGAAAGCATTGTTTTCCTGAACTGCACTAATCTTGAGTGGAGAGGACTATGTAAACATATGTCACCGGAAGCCCACAGGCATCCACATGGGGGGGGGTGTAAATGACAAAATGTGGGTCACAATACAGACCATGTGACTTGTATACTCGCATCCGATGACATCGTGTTTTTTGTCATATGTTTTGAACCAGATGCCAGTGGTTTTAGTGAAATTCATAATGAGTCATCAGACCGAGTCTTCATCTAGCCCAACAGCTGTTCCAATAATGAGGAGGGAGTTTCTCCTGGAGAATTCATAAGCTTAGTTACTTGGGAAACCTATGGTTTGAAAGATAGATAAGAAATTGCATAAATAAGCTTTTATGATTATAGATACCCTACCCCATTTTTGTTTCAGCAACTGATACAAATTGTATGCCACTGAATCCAGAGGTTCCATTTGGTGATCATGACTAATAGCTGATTATCTATCTCATCTCATTTAAAGTTGTATAAAGCCATAAACCTAATGCCTCCACATTTCAAAAAGCTTCTCTTGTGTGTCCGGATTCTTGCCTGGAATGCAAAGATCCTCCTGTTACTGGTTTTTCCAACCATCTGCAAAGGGGCTATTGATAAAATGGAAACTAAATGTATTGAAGTTGACTTGGTTAGGACTTGATCTAATCTAGTAGATCCAAAGTGTAGTCAATACCTTGATTAGGTCAAGACCTATCACAATTTAAAAATTAAAATTGGTAGTGAGTTCCAAGTTGTCCTTAGGATTTTCTAAGAATAATACGTTAATATTTCATCAGGGAACAGTTCTTTTATATTTCATGTACATTCTTGTAAAGGTACAAATTTCATGTGCATTCTGTTCTGAACAATCAAGGCAACACTAAATTCAATCAAACGTATGCCCAAGCAAGTGTGAATGGATCCAAAGGATTAGGTACACACTGTACCATACCATAATTTAACAACTCAGATTTGGCTTATATTTGCCTTTCCTGTTTTACACAGGATTTGCGTTTGCATAATCTAAACCAGTATCAAAGTTCTCTCTGTCTTACAGGGCAAGCACAAACTTCTTGTGAACACGGGATTTGAAGGGAAGTGGTGTGGTCTCATTCCAGTTGGGAGCTCCTGTGAATGCGTAACAACAACAGGTCTAAAATGGAACCTCAGTAAGTAAGATCTTTTTTCCACTCTGGAAAAACATAATACTGTGTTTTGAGTAATTGTGGGAGAAACTATAGAATAATTTACTACATTTAGTTAACAGATAGCATCCTATTAATATTAATTAATATTAAAATATTCATTTTGGGGAAATTGCATTTTGTCTGAAAACAAAAATAATCATAATAGTTTAAATGGTATAAAACTTCCCAAAGAAAGTATATCCATAATTGGTAGTGAAATCATATATGTCATTGGAGGAGCCTTAAATATTTGAGGAGGGGGGCAAGGAAGACTAGGACAATCATAGTCCTGTTTGGCACTGAGAAAGGCAGTGCTTGCTTCAACATTCCTAGCCAATATCATCTCTCTTTTCCTTTGTCCTGGAGTCAAGAAACTTACCATGGCGACGGCCACAAGTATTCCCAGTCCTCAGCAAAGCTCACCATTCTTGCCACAAAGAAGGACCTTTGTGGTGTCCATTCATACAGAGGAGGATAGTCATCTGTGTAGACCAGTGTTGTCCAAACTTGGCCACTTTAAGATGAGTGGACTTGGCTGGCTGGGGAATTCTG